AATCTAGAACAAAAAAAACAAAAAAAGGGTAGACTTAGAATGTGACAACAGCAGACTAACTCAAAAAACGGTTCAGTCTGTGGTCACACACTAACCATTTGTGTAGAATACAAAAAATCATCGTTTAGACAGAATAAGCTGAAAAAAAAAAAATTCTCAAAACTGTTATCAAAGTTAACGTTTTGGTGTTGTAAACCACCAAATGCCACAAATGCTCAATGGTATTTGCTGCTAATTCTGCAGTATGACAGATACTCAAGCAGATGAAGAATCATCAACAACAATGTCTTCAGATGCCACATTTTAAGGTCTGCAATATGATTTGCCCAAATTAAACACTGTCGAAGAGCAGATGAGAATTTTTTTTTACTGTTACCTTTTCAGAAATAAAGGTAATGTAATGAAGATATCAAAAAAACAAAAGAGAAAAGAAGGGAAAGAGCATCGTCATCACTATCGTCGTCATCATCAGTATCAGTGTTTTCTCTTTCGTCTTTTTTTTTTTCAACCTAAACAAAAGAATAACCTTTTTGTCGTATTGTTCATCTTTATCGCCGCCGCCGCCGTCATCATAGCCGTCGTCGTCGTCGTTGTCGTTGTCGTTGTCGTTGTCGTTGTCGTTGGCATTGGCATTGTTTTTATTCTTCTTGTTTCTCATTTTCATTTGAAGGATTACGATAAAAAAGTGATGAAAATATATACCGTATGATGAAAAATAGATATATATATGAAGAGAAGACGAAAAAGAAGAAGAAAAGAAAAGAAAAGACGAAAAAAAAAAAGAACCTTTTGAAGCAACGGCAGCTGCACAAAATTGGTTTTGTTTAAATTAGGTAATAAAAGAATTCTATCGAAAAAAAAAAAAAAGAAAAGCACAAATACATACACTATTTTGCTTGGGAAGAATTTGAAAAGCTAACCAATTTTTCTTTTCATTTTCTCTGCTAATGTTTTGTGCACACCGTAAAGGCTTTGCTCCTTCAAAAAAAAAAAAGAAATTTTTTTTTTGTATATATTTATATTTGTATTTATCTATGATTATAGAAAAGATTCATAAAATATTGAATTGCTAATATTAAAACAACAGCAATAACAACAGAGATGATAACGACAAACAAAAAAAAAGAAAAAGATGGACAACAACAACGACAATAAACCAACTTTTCTCGTATTCATATACTTTAGACTGTAGAATAAGTATAAAAAGTTGCCTTTATAATGTAAAAGAACGAGGTAACTGGTACAAGATCTGTTTTCTTAAAAATGACAAATTCTAAAACTATTCCGTTTTTTTCGTGTTCACTTCTGTTGCTTTTCATTCTTTTCTTCTTTTTTTTAAACCCTTTTTACCTTCTTTTTTTTCTGTTAATTTCTTTTTTTCCATAATTTTCAAGAAAAAAAAAAAAAA